TTTTTGTTCCCAACGTTATCTTGTGACGAATCAAGGTTGATGATCTCATCTTTTTTTTTTTTTTTCGGTCGAAAAAGTTGGGAACCTTGGGGCGGTGTCAGTGGACATGGAAGAGGGAAATTTGGACAGGCAGTGCAGTTTTGACGACTGTTCTGTCTGTGTGACAGCCAGGTCCGTGTGTGACGAGTGTCACATACGAACAGCTGAGTGACCATGCGTGACAATGCTCAAAAGACAGACAGTCAAGGTCAATGGCCATGACAACATAGCTTGAGAACCTCGGGGCATTTTCAGTGGACTGGGATGGGACGGAACTTGGGCGGGCAGTCCAGTTTTGATGAGTTTTCTGCCTGTGTGACAGCAAGGGGCATGTGTGACACTGTGGTCGTGGAGGAGGAGGAGGAAGGCACCGTGAAGTGCCACTTTTTTGTCCTTAAAGCACCAGTACATGGGCACCTCGGCCGCGGGCCTGACACCTTGAATTCTGGAAGGCCGAAATGAAAACGCGACCGCCGATCCAATTTATCAACGGCAGGCCCAGCGTTTGACGTTTCAGCCTCGTTTTCTTGTGGCGACAAGTTTCAGACTGCAAGGCTGGGGCCGTGTACTAGTGGTTTAAGAATACAAAAGACAGAAACAGTGCGTGCTGGGGCCGTGTACTAGTGGTTTAAGAATACAAAAGACAGAAACAGTGCGTGTTTTCACAGCATCCGTTAAACTTGGAATGATAGAGAGAAGATTAGCAAGGGCAATCACTTGAGAGGCAGGGAAGACAAGCTTTCTAGGCATCTGTTACAACTGCAGAGTATAACTTGAGAGAGAGAGAGAGAGAGAGAGAGAGAGAGAGAGCACCACTACAGAACATTCTATGTGAATCTGGACCCAGATGTTGCCCAGACGCAATCAAACTGTTGGGTCTATCTCAATGTATCTGGACAATGTTGCCAGCAGCCAGTTCCGTACACTGAAGAAACAACATTGTCCACGATATTTTTTTTTTGTCATCTGTGAAGATAAGGGACGTTGGGCCCGCCCCTTTGAGGCTGTTTTCATTAGTACTTGGTGCAAGTTGTTCTCAGATGTTTCTCAAAAAAAAGACCTATCATCAAAGGGCGTCCTTGCTCAGTTAATACCCTGGTTCCGGGGCAATCAATGCTGGCAGGGGGAGGTATTCTTAATTTTTTTTTCTCAAATTTTCTCAAAAATGACTCTTGAGAATGCCTTAGGATTCTGGGTACTCCTTGCAACTCATTTTAGGCTTCTTTGATGCTGTTATATTCATGGACCTGAGGTTTTTCGTTGCCAGAACAGCGCTGGCCGGTGCTGGGGGTTTGCCCTGTAACCTGTTGATAGCAGGAGCATTTTTTCATTGAAGTGCCAATTACGTTTTGCGCGTGCATGTGCCTCCATATGGCCTTCTGTGTATGCTACTCTCTCTCTCTCTCTCTCTCTCTCTCTCTCTCTCTCTCTCTCTCTCTCTCTCTCTCTCTCTCTCTCTCTCTCTTTCTTTCTCTCTTTCTTTCTCTCTCCACTCTATCTCTAGCTCTATGCCTTGTTTCTTCTTCTGTACGGAATTGCTCCATATGGCTTTCTGTGTATGCTACTTCTCTCTCTCTTTCTCTCTCCACTCTATCTCCATCTCTATGTTCTGTCTCTTCTTCTGTACTCGCTCACTCCCGTTCTGAGCACGGCCTGCTGGCTGTTACGCATCCTTGTGATCGCGTTCTCCTCCAAGTCAATATAAAAAATCATAAAAATGTAAGCAGCCTCAATGATCTCATCTGTTCTTTTTTTTTTTTTTTTGGTCCAAAAAGTTGACTTCGGTATATTAATAACTGGTCTCATCATTTTGGTGCATCCATCGACTTTCGGTACCTGCCTTAATTCACGAGCGTGAAGCAACCTGAACCGCAGGAAAAAAACGATACGCTGCCGATCTATACACATCTGCATGTGATGTCACAGAATCTGTTCACAATCAAACCGAACAACAGAGAAATTTTTGTCATTAAATCGGATAAAGCACCATGCGGCCCAGCTCAGTTGGTACACTCCTGAAAGAAAAAAAAAAAAAAAAAAAAAATACAGACCTATCCAGCGGCCTAGCTCCGTTGGCAAGGCATGCAAGTGGCATTCAGGAAGTCTGGGGTTCAATCCCCATTGGCCTCATGTACCTTCCTGGGAAAGCTTGGCGCCCACCACCTAGAGATAGGCCGTTGGTTTTCCTGAGCGGAATTGAGCAGAGACTGCTGATGTTCATAGTGGGACGGGTCCAGAGGGTAGGCGCGGCGACTGGCCCATTGAAGAAGCTCGGTCCTGATACTAAATCGCCCACCTGCTGAAGCAGGTATCGCCCCTGCTGATAGAAGCAGGTATTTCCTTTTGGCACTTCACCGGGTGAAGACGGTAGCCGCTACATGTACAGCTAGATTGTAGGGGATCCATAGTACCTACTACCTAGCCATTACTTCACATTCAGCCAGTACTAAAAAAGCAAACTCCTAAGAGTATACTCACACTAGGCCCTCAAAATCGCAAAGTAGCAAAACTAGCGGCTGGATCGAGTCCTCACATTACAAGGAGACTCCATCTGGCCACTGATTTCACTATTTTGCAATTTTGAGGGCCTAGTGTGAGTATGCCCTAATTATAGTACCTTTTTTTTGTTTGTGGGTTTTTAAACTTTTGTTTTATTCAACCAAAAAAAAAAAATATTTTGGCAAAATTTTCAAGGCCACTTTTCGCCAACGCTTGCAAGAGTGCCTATACTGACGTGTGAAATATAAATAGAATATCGAGGCCACTCTCACAATCAATTATATCACACACCCACCTCATGTATACAGTCAACACTCACCCACCTCATGCTTCTCTCTTTCCCACACCCCTTAACTGACGTCCCACTTGGGTGAAGAGCATGCATGGAACTTATCCGGACGCACCCTGTGTGCAGGTGCATCCGGATAAGCTGGGGACCAACCCAGAACAGCGTTGTTCAATGACGCGCTGTACACCTCATTCACACAGCGGGAGCCCGGCTCCAGAATAACTTAACACCGCAACATGACCACCAGCAAGACCCCTTCTGCTGCACATGCACTTGCTGAGCGGTGTACACAGAAATATTTTTTAAAGTTATTTAAAAAAAAAATACTTTGTGGCCTTCGAACATCGACGAGCATACAATGGGAAAAGTCAAATTGCACGTGTTCATATTGGGTCGTGTGATTAGGACAGAGACTGTTAGTCCTGTACATGTAGCGGCTACCGTCTTCACCCGAATAGAACGCCCGGTCATTATAGCCGTATTTGGGGCAACTTTCAGACCAGATGCAGCTATAATGACCAGGCGTTCTATTCGGGTGAAGACTGTAGTCTAATTAGCTGTACAATAACTATACTACAATAGCAATCAGCAGCACTCCATCAGTGGCTGGTTCGTCCCAGCATTCGTGTAGGCCATAGTTGTGAAGAGATTGGGGATTAGGTAGAGATCGGTCACGACTGTTAGTCCTATACAGATAGCGGATAGTCTAATTAACAGTACAATAACTACAGCAATTAGCATTCAATCAGTGTCTCGTTTGTCCAAACACTCGTGTCGGCTGTAGTTGTGAAGAGATTGGGGATTAGCAGAGATTGGCAACAAGTCCATAACTCTTGGGTTTGAAAGAAGTATCTTGCGTCCAATCAGGGTCTTTTCTACCTTAGAGAGCAAGGAGAACACTGCTGGATGGAGGAGGTCTAGATCCCATTCAACGATATCGGGAGTCGAGGACAACACTGGTGGACGGCTGAGGTCTAGATCCCGTTCAAGGATATCAGGAGCTGTTACATGCCCAGTTGGGCGATGTACATATAAACCGAGGATCCGCAAGGTGATGAAAAGGACTGAATGGATAATGCAGTGCAAGTGGAATCTCAACAAGCAATGTGCATTCCGATACATACAAAATGGTGCTTTATACCGCAGGGAAGACTTTCGATACAAGTCCTGACCTGACTGGGACTGACCTCTACTACGTAGTGCAAGACAGCGCAGCAGAATGCTAGAATACCAATGACTAGCCCAATCAATGCTGCAACGCAGACCAAACATACATCATGCTCATCACAAGGTGTGAGGGGCCTGGCGCTATACACAGGAAGGAGGCGCCAGGTCCAGACATACACAGATGAAGAGGAGGGGATCAGACGAAGAAGAGGACGGGGGAGATGGGAAAGTCGTCAACACCAAGTCTCGTTACAAGTCCCAAATAATCCCTCTTCAAAATGTC